ATAAATTTTATATATTTTATAATAGCAAAATTTTAAATATTATAAAATAATAATTTAATAGTAAAAATTTTAAAATAGTATCGTCTTAATAATTAATTCGACTTAATATTAAAAATAGAACAATTTATTATTGGTTAAAAATGTTTACTGTGGCGTAGCATTTTTAATCATCATTTACTCAAAATCAATTTCTTATCCCGTAAGGTGATTTTAATAGCTTAGCCCCAATATACTGTATGTAAAAGTAAATCAATTAGAACACCAAAATTGGGTTTATTATGTGTTTGGAAGCCAAACAAGAATGTATGTATATTTATTTATGTTACTTACATAGATAAGTGAAACTCTAAAAAAATAATTAAGACCAGAATTTCCTTATTACTACCTGTTAAGGCAATAATGAGCAAAATTTTACTTGTGACTAAGATAAGAAGTAATTTCATGGTATTTTTTTTTATCTCGATTGATAAATTTTAAAATTTACTTTTGGCAAATACATTCCTCCACTAAGCAAGGATTCCTTTCCGTCCCGTTATCATCAAAAAAAAAAATTTAAATATGATCCTTGCAAAAAATCCGAAATTGATCAAATTCACCTGTTGGATTGAAAAACCGAAAAGGTTCATCAATAGAATGAATATCCCGACGTAAATAATTAATCGAAAATATATTATGAAACAAAATTTATGAAATTTATATTGAGATATTCCTTTAATTTAGTTATTATCTTTAAAACGCATTTATTGTTAATTTATTAAATCATTCCACATTTACAATACTTACATCAATTAGAAGAAAAGATATTTAAAAAATAAATACAAAGAATTTTTTTTCACATATTAATTGTGATCTTGAATTCAAGGGTAGATTAATTTTTTTGGGAATCCCAAAACTCAAGAATTATTCTTGATGTAAAGAAAAAATGACAATAAATAAATAATAGAAATTTACAATGTATAAGTTGTGAAAGTTTCAAGGTTGAACGGTTCCGACATTCTAATCACCGCTTCGGAATACTTTTTAACTTTAACGTACGGTTCAAATTCTTTTGCTTCCTTCCTCTCTCTAAACCCATTACCACCTAAATCCCATTCAAATGAATCAACCCCTTTACCAATCCGATAAGCAAGACATTGAATACTATTCATGTCCATTATAAGTCGTTTCAATAATTGTAAAGTATCGTCCAAATAAAATTCCCTCATGTTTCTAAGCAAGAACCTTTTTAATTTAAGATGCTTGCAATTATCCAAGAAGGTTTGAAGGTTAATCGGATCCAGGATCAAGAATAAATCAATGTACTCTAAAGTAAGAGGTAATGCTTGACCAAGTTGTTGTAAGAGTAAAGTACTGGCGGATTGCGAATGTTCATCCTCTATGCGTATCAGTCTACGGAAAGAAAATCTTGGATAATGATTAAAATCATACTTAATATCAAGTGTGAGGTATCGAAGGGTTGTACCAAAGCATGAGAGTAAATCATTTAATCGAGGGATGTGTTCATGTTGTATTTCAGTGAAATGAATAAATTTAATTTTCTCACAGTAATGTGAAATACTATCAAAAATGTTTCTCTTATCATAAATTGATAAAATTAAATTCTCCAAGTGACTCCCAACTTTATGAAATATTAATTGATATTGTAATACATCATCCGATGGATCAATAAACTGGGAATCATTAGTAACGATCGCTAACGTCTTGATCTTGAGGTTTGAAATGTTTGATAAATGTTGAACCAATTCCAACTTTAACACGGGATAACATTGATAAAATTGTAAAGATTCTAAATTTTCAAGGCATTCAAGGCTTTGAAAAGATTGAATGTTTATGAAATGACATGAATCAAATATGAGACAAGTTAAGGTGCTCGCAACGCTTTTTAGAGTTGACAAGGAATCTTGTAAAAAATCCTTGTTAAAGGCAAAGGTGAGTTTAGAAAGCGCTTTCTGTGAATCAATAAATCTTGCCAAATTTTTCGAAGCCTTTAAACTAACATTATTTGGTTGAAAAGGTTGAACTTGAATCTTTAGATCTTTAACCGAATTACATAATGAAGGTAAGTAAGAGGTGAAAGGTAAGATCGAATCCATGGACGTTGCAGTAATCCCATTCATTATAAAGTATTGAGATGTAGGATTATGATGAAAGGTGAAATTCTCAACCCCAGAGATGAATTTTGGGCTGTCCTTGATCAATTCATAAACTTCATGTATGAATTTAAAATCATATAACGTCGTCTTGCGATCAACGATTATTTCAAAAGTGATTAATGAAGCAAAGTTCGAGATAAATAATTTAATTAAGGTACGACAGATAAAGTGTCTCAACTTTATTGAATCCTGAAGTTTCTCATCTGGCGGTATTAACGACGCGAGTTGTACCGTTCTCACGTTTAACAAATTAAATGGTATACGACGTCGAATTCGACGCCTTCTTGGTTGTACTATTGGTTGAGTTGAAAAAGTTGGATTTATGGGACGTATTGGCAGTGATGTATCCATCATTAAAGGTGTTTCCTGTTTCAAATATTTGAAATCTACGGGTAAAGGAAATGGTAAGGTATCCCAAGATCCACGATACTTTCTTTGTAATGAAGTGGTAATTAATGGAGGCGGAAGGATATTCTTTTGAAAATCATCACGAATATTACCACCACTCGGAGGAGGGGATTCAAAAGGTGATGAATTTCGTGTATCATTATTAAAATGAAATGATGGTGGTCTGTATTGTCGAAGTCGAGTCGGGTGGTACAACATGGTCGGTTGAGGTAAATTATAATTTAAAGAATTTCCTTTCTTTCGATGAGATTTAGAATTTGACGGTTGCTCCGTAAAAGAATCAATCCAATCAGACACGATCAAATCCAGTTTATACGTATTCAATGCCTTAATAAAAGATGGATAATTAAATAAGGGTGTTGTTAATAAGAAGTCGATTCTATTAATTCCGAATTCCTCCCTAAATACGTTCTTATCATCATCATCAAGATAATACAGATAAAAATCTATGAAATGATGACTTAAATGTTTTTTATATGTTGAAATGGAGAAGGGATCTCGCCACAAGATTGGAACTGCCAAACGACACCATAACCTATTTACTAATACACAAGAATATAATGTTGAATAATCATCATGGAGGTAGTTTAAAATTTCATTTGTTAATTCTGGTAAACCTCCTGAAAATAATTTTGAACACGAGTATGATGAGTATGTTGAGTATGACATAATTAATTATTTTCTTTCTATTCTATTTTGTTTTTTTTTTAAAAAAAAAAAATGTGTGTGTTTGTGTGAGTGGGAGAGAGAGAAAAAAAAAAGGATTGGGATGTAGGTTGCTGATTAAGTTGATTAAGTAAAAAAAAAAAAATGCATTTTATATATGATATTCAACTGGTTTCGACGAATTTGGATACAATGACATATGAAAACATCATGACAAAATTTATTCACCAAAAATGTTGATATCCGAGATCCGTTTCAATACCTATTTGGGTGGTTGGCAAAAAAAAGAAGAGATTTTCTACCACTTTTATTTGGAATTGCGCACGTGACTAAGAAAATTACCGTAATTAAAAAAAATTCCCATATTTTTTTTTCTTTTTTTTCAATTGTATTTTTGTACGACGACACACCAATTGAAAATTATCGTCTTTACTGGCTACATAAATAAAACGACATGCATATTTCATGCTTTCAAACATGAAACACAAGGATGTTTGTAAAAATTACTTGTATTTAATCCAAAAATACAATTCTTAAACAAGAATGTAGAATCTATTACGACATTACATTCCTATGAACTATATTGGCAATCCAATAAAGCGTGCTGTTTGTATTTACCCCCATATGCAAGAAATTTTGACATCATTGATTTATACCCAAATTGGATAAATAAATTTATAATCGGAAAAAAATATTGAAAAAAAAATTAATGACGTGTAATGATTTTATTCTAATTAATTGATAAGATATATTACAAAATTAAAATATTAATTTATAAGAAAATTATTTTAATGTAATGCGTTTTTGTGTTTTGATTTGTGTTTTTTTCTTTTTCTTCCTATTATATTCGTTTAAATTGAATCTCGACATCTAAATCTTTCGGTTTTAATAAAAAATTTGAATCTAAACAGAATTTTACTTTATGTATACTTTCCTCTGGAAGTGTCCATTCATATTTAAGAACTAAAAAAATTAAAATATAAAGGTTGTGAATATACCGTACATATACATACATACTAATTGAAGGAGATCCTATTACTTACGTATCATTGACAATAAAACCCTTTGTTCCATCAAAGAGAAATTCTGTCCGGCGCTAAAAAAAAAATTAATCAAATCATGATTAAATTATGTTCAACCAAACTAGAGACGGTAAGGAAGATGTTTTGTTTTATAAAAAAAATCATACCAATTTCTTGGACCGGCGCTGAAAGGAATGAAAGAATAAGGATGTCGTTTTTCACCGTTTAAAAACCTTTCGGGATCAAATTGATATGGGTTTTCCCAAATATTTGGATCATGATGAACATGCCAAACGTTCACGCAAGTATAAGAATCCGGGGGGATCATGTAAGGACCAACTTGAACATAATCATTAGATTGACGTGGAATTAGAATTGCCAATGGAGGATATGTACGTAAAGACTCCTTTATGACCGCGTTTATATATTTTAATTCCTAAACATGTAATTTTGTACGATTTATTAGCGCCTTATCAACCTTTTTATAAAAAAGTACAAAATGGGATTTATTTAATTTACCTTTACTTGTTCTGATGTTGGGGTTGTTAATGCGTTTCCAAGAACTCTGATCACTTCTTCTCTGGCCTTCTTTTGCATTTCCTAAAAAAGAGCGAGAGAACGTAAATATGATTTCGATCAACAGCAAAATATGCATGAAGCGCAAACATGATCGAATTTTACTTACCGGATATTTAGCGAGATGGTAAATAGCAACGCTCATATTTAATGAAGTGGCTAAGAATATCAATAATAACGTTTTAACAAGTGTAAAAGAAAGAAACAATTCTATTTTACGGGCATAAAAAGAATACTCACTATCATGACCGGCAATGAATAAATTCACCAAATTATCTCTCAATTCACGAGAATCGATCTTAATACCTTCTTTCTCACTAAGTTCCAACATACTGGATAATAAATTATTATCCGTGGTATCACTTTTTTCTTTATCTTGATATTTTAACTCCTTCCTTCTTTGTGCGATGAGATTTAAGATAAAATTATCAAATACATTCATGTTCTCCTGATATTTCTTATTTGATTCGAGAGGTAAATGATCCATAATAGGAAAGAGGATGTGTAACCAATTTTCGGTTTGTTCCATTACATATTTATATGATTTGATAATATCTGGTATCTCAAAGGAGTTCAATCCCTAAAAAAAAAAAAAAAAAAATTTTTTTTTTGTTATTGACCCATAAATAAATAAACAATTTGTAACAAAGATTTCTATATATGGACTTACACCAAATTCATAAGCGAATGCAACTTGGCCTAATATTTCGATGGTTGTACGTTGCATCATGTCGTAAATATTTATCGGTTTGTCCAAGTTATAATCCATCAAATTGAATAACTTGAATGCATTTTTGCCAATGATGTCATGTGATAAAGCTCGATTGAATGCCGCATTATTTAGTTTTCGTTGCATGCGCCATGACTATCAGTATTTGCGAAGAGAAAAATTTAATATGAAAACCCAAACCAAAATTTAAAACTTTATCTTTGCTTTCCTTACTTACGTGGCTGTTTGAAAAAAGAATTCCATTTCCGTAAAAGCTCTTAACTCTATTTCCTAAGCCATGTTTCATTTTAGGAAGGACATCCTCTACATTTTAAGACGATGAATGCACGTTTAAAGTTTAATAAACGAAAAAAGAAAAAAAAACATAAAGCACATGTAAGTGTACAAATGTATATATATGTACCTGACTTTGTTAAGAATTGTTTTATGTATTCAACGTCTTGAAGATAAAAAAAGGCTATGGTACCCGCGTTTGCCTAATTTGATTTACCAAACAAAAACGTTAAGTGACAAAGATTCCTATGAGACCGTAATTAATGTATTATATATATTATAGTACATTCATTACCTTGATAATCCCTTTATCAGAAACTTTAGATATTATTCCTTGGATTTCATCCTGTGGTTTTCCTGTGAACATTGCCCATATGAACTCTAGTGAAGGTATCGAAGGTATATTATCAAAACCGTTTGGGCTCTTTGGTGCCGAAAATAATTTTTTTACGATGTGATATAAAACCACCAACAAACTAACGTATAGTAGGAATATCATTTTGAAAAAAGATACAAAGTTTTCAAAAAAATGTTTTTTGGTTTTTTTTTTTTTAAATTTTTTTTAATAAAGTTCGGAATGATTCATTTTTAAAGGAAAAATTCGACACGATTTACATAAAATGAAATTCATGATTTTGTACAAATATTTGAAGATGGTGGATGAGTAACTAAACATATTTAGAAGAAATGTAATGTAATTTTTGGAATATGGGTAATATATTAATGGATAAAAATAGACTTTTGGAGCGCGGGGGCAAACAATAAAGTTTGATACATTGGATCGAAAATTACGTTCATAATGCTTGTTTTTAATGTCCGACATGAAACAATAATAATAAATATTTATTTTTGCATCATAACATAAACAGAAATTATTAATTATTATGATGGTTTAAAATATAAAATATTTGAAATTTAAGAACAATAGTACCTTTGACCTTAATAGGGGTTAAATGGTCAAAAGGTGAGAGGTAACACATTTCAAAAGATAATCTTGAATGACAATGATTTTCCAGGCAATCGACAGCTGGTTATTCTTTTGATTTACTAGAGATTCAGACTTAACGAAAAATTCCTAGGAATTTCTTTTTTAAAATATTTTTTTTATTTCCCTTATTCTATACTTTTTTTCTTTTTTCTTTTTTTTTAAAAAAAAAAGAAACAAAAAAAAACGATTCTTTAATCGAGAATGATAATGATTTTTTATTAAAAAAAAAATAAAAATAAATAAATAAACATTACATGCATCATGAACCACCCAAAATCTGAGTTGGTGAGACAGTTATCAAGGAGTAATTACCGAATTTCTATTGATATCATTAGACAATGCCTTTAAAGTTTTTTTTTTTAAAAAAAAAAAAAAAGTATGAATGAACACATTTTGGTAACGTGTTTCAGAGTTTATTAAAATCAGGTGAAAAAAAAAAAAAAAAGAAATTAAAAACGTCGCAATCATTTATTTTGGAACATTCCCATAATTAAATTATAAAGTAAATCAATAAAGAATTCCGAAATTATTAAAAAAGTCCGAAATTATTAAGAAGTCTGAAATTGATCGACATTAAAAAAAGACTTTTTATTTGAATCATACTTAGAGATGAGATAACTATCGTCATTGATTTTATAATGTATATTTTTTTCTTCTCACTCCCTGAAGCAAGTTCTTTTTTATTATTTGTTATATTTTTTTTTTAAGTTTTAGCGTTTTGGAATGCCCCTGCATATTCCAAGTACATGGCCAGACTCTTTAAGATTTAATCTGTAATCGTGTGCAACCTGATATTATCCCTATTATTTCCCCACCAATTAAATTCAATTTATTACGTCGTCATGGATTAAAGAAATTCCCACCTTTTGACAAACCTAAGAACGATTAAAAGGTTTTAGATTATCGATTTATTGAATCGGTTTCGTTAGGGTTATAAACTATTGTTAAAAGATCACCGCGCATGTTTACATATTATGTAAAGATCATTAATCCAAAAATTGGAAACCCGACCCAAATCTTTTTTTTTTTTAAAATTAAGATTGAATGACCGCTACCCATCATTTTACTTTTTCTTTTTCATCGTGTCACCGAATAAAGTTTTGTCGCGGTATTTTTCTTTTATGGAACAAAGAATCACTAATGATTTCCTGAGATGAATTGACAAAGAAGAAAGTTTGCATATTATCATGCCATGAGTTTTCTTTTTGGTATATGATAAATAATAAACATGCACCTTTTCTTATTTTTTTTTTTTTAAAAAAAAAAAAAAGAGAGAAAAAATGGCGAAAAGATTGATTATCATAACATTTAATTTCTATGCACCCAAAATAGGTGTCATTGGTATCATTTCCGCTTTTTGGATAAGTTAATAAAGATACGCCTCTCTACGAATGAGAATTCTGCTTTACTTTTTTTTTTTTTTTTATTTACGATAATTATGATGATCCCTTAAATGGTAAAAGGACGTTCAAGTATCTAAAATATTTCGACATCCGGTTTGTAAAGCAAAAAGATGAAACGTAACTCATCATCTGGTGGAAAGTGGTTTCATTCATTCATTCATGTCGTCTCTGGGGATCTAAGGATCAACGGCTAATGAAATACATTCGCTTTTTTACTTTAAAAAAAAAAAATTATTGGCAAATATATGTGCGGACATAATCTTGGGGACATGTCCATGCCCGTCTAATATCAGACAGACAATACAATTTTGTTTATCGTTTCGGTGCTTCTCTAATGATTATCTGATATGCAATCAAATAAGAAATTGTTATCATGTTTTACCTTTAGGTTCAATGGGGTTGTGTAAGATGTTTGATTAAAAGAACTTTCTGATGATATTTCATCATTAATCGGATTTACTTATTTGTTTATTTTCGGGGAATAACGATAACAAAAATTTTTTTTTCAAGTTTCGATCTGCAAATTTCGTGCCTCATTTGGCCTGAATACCAAATTAGGATAAGCTCATATTGGGATAACTGTGTTATTTAATCGGATATTTGTTTTTTTATCTTAAATAATTTAATTACCATCAAATCTAGTTTTTAAAACCTCAAAAAGATCTATATCGGATCAGTTGGTCCGGTGTAGTGCCATATACAGAAATTTTGGTATAAATGGTTCCAGGAGGTCATTTTCCTGGCACACTTCCCAAATAGGAATTTCACCTTCCGATAACACGCGTTACAAAAAAAAAAAATTTGTTTCCTTTATCTTTTACGAATTGGCGGCACGTATCACGGGTATTAATCACCAACAACAGTGCGACAGTAAGATAACATATGCTTCTAACGAGATATAATATCTAATCTTCCTGGTAATTTTTTTTCTAGCAAAATCTCATATTGATCAAAAAAGTACCACCTTTGAATGTGCATGTTTCGACAGAATCCTTTTTTTTTTCATTAAGATATTATCACATAAGAAATTAAATAAGAATGACTTCATCAATATTCATCATAGTCCAATGAATTAGAAATAATAAATCATACAGTTATTATTTATATTGTTTGCATTTAATGTATTTAATGACGGTAATATATTCAGTACATACTCTAAAATTATAAATAGATGTATGTAAGGAATCATTGGTCATTTATTTGATGAGATAAGATTTCCCTTTCACGCGTAAACAATGTGTATATATTTAAGGATAAAAAAGTAGACAAAAAAAATTTTTTTTTTTTGATATTGTTTTCGACATTGTGATGAGAAGATAATATTTCTACAAATTAGGTATTACTGAAAAGAAAAAAAAAAATCTCCTTCAAAATATAAAATATAGTATGAAACAATCTATCTTTCCTAAATTTAAAATTATGTAAAATCCTTTCTTTTTATATAACATGTGTATATGTAAATATATATATAAAGTGCTATTTAAAACAGCTCACTAAACTACTATACAATTTACAATTCTCAAATCAAAAAAAAAAAGATAAATAATTTGATAAATCTCTTTCATGACCACTTGTACATTATTTGTAAATACTGACGATAAATATTATAAAAATCGTCTGAATACGTCCATGTCAAGGTTATTCCTAGAGGGAAGGAAGGAAGGAAAGAAAGAAAAAAAAAAAATTTATAAATAAATCTTGAATAAAATTTTGTTCAAAAAAGAAATTTTCTACTCGACCCATACTTCTTATAACCCGACCAAATTTCTGAAGAGCGGAAGCAAGAGTCCACCTTCCCAACACAACGACGGAACCTTGTTCAATTCCCCAATCGATAATCTTTTGACAATCCAATAAAGTTTGCTGATCAGATGATTGAAATTGGTGAACTTTTAAGAATTCTTGGATGGTACTAGTGTCCCAAAGTATGGGACTATCTAAAAAAGCTTGCCAATCCGGTTGAATAATATGTTCACCGTACTCATTTTTATTATCACCAATTATAGCGAGTAATTGTAATTTTGGGAAATGAGATTTGGTTAATCCTTCAAACATGTTATCCCCAAATCCCATGCAATCCTTAAATTTTAATTTTTGTAAATTTTTACACGCAGAAAGGTTTTCCCACGATAAATCTTCGCAATTTCTAAAGTCTACCCTCCAAAAATAAATTGAACAAAGACTTTTCGATTGTGTTGATAACGAGGAGAAGATCGAATTTGGTAAAACGTTGGCAACCTTGAGAGATTTTAGATGAGTCTGCTTGTTCACGAAATCTCGTAAGGATTCCATTTCCTCGAAATAATTTGGCGGTGAATTTTGGAGGTACACGAATAGTTTATCCTATCAAAAAAAAAAAAATTGAAATGGTTAAGTCACGTGAACAAGCGACGAGAGAGATGTTGCGTGCGTGTATTTACCAAATTTTTGCAGGAATCCTTCAATTCCGTTAAGACACGATCCTTGACGAATTCACCCTGTAACTTTAACTTTCTTACGGGTTCCAACAAATTTTTAAATTCTCGTTCCATTAACCTTTTATACCTAAAATCAGTACCTTTCCGTGAAAGCCATTCACCAAGCACCAAATGTAATAGTATGACCGACCTCGTGAGAAACATTTTAAATAGTGCCCTTATCATCAAGGATATCGAATTATAAGGGGCATTTTCTAATTCGCTACACCAAACGTCAACGGATTGACAAAACCTGTCATAATCTAATCTTTTCAACATTGATGCATAATCAAAAACGGGTCTTGCATAACTCTTTCTGTGTAAGACGAGTCCTTCCTCTTCGAGGTATTCATATTCTTCGTAACCAAAACATGAGATGTACGTATCAATTAATTTGGCATTACCATTTTTAAAGTAATAAAATGCATTCCTCCATAAAAGGGGCACAGCTGCTCTACACCACGAGCGATTTACCAAAACACAAGAATGTAAATAACGTCTTGTATTATAATCATCATTATTTGAATTTTTACCGGATTTCCGAATAAATGTAAAAATTATTCGTAAAACATCTAATGGTAACCTTGATGAAATTGATGTCATAATTTGATTGGCTAATAACAAGTATGGGCGTATTATGATAATTTTTTTTTTTTTTTTTTTTGGAGAAAGAGGGGTAATTAATTTGAAATTTACTCAAGTTGTATTTATAAGGGACGAAAATCAAATGTGTAACTGTAAATTTATAAATTAGACCGTTTTGATTGGATCATTTTTGGTCAGACATAATATCAATCATCGAATCATGTGAGATGTATTTATAATTGCTTCGCCAAACGATGCGCATATTGACCCATCTTAATCATCACAATGCTTGAAATTTCAAACGAACTTTTCGTGAATTGATCGTGCCATTTCGACGAATGATCGGCTTGAATCATTATTTCTATTTTTCTCGGTATTTTCATTTCCTTTTGATAATCTTTCTTACGATAACGACCACCTTAAACGCTATTTACTCTTTTGAATATATGCCAACATTGATTTATCCGCGGAAATTTGGCGAATCAAAAAAAAAAAGGAACCGCACGTGAACACCTAATTTACATTTTTTTTTAATAATAAAAATGTTTTGAGATAAAGGAATAACTAAATAAAGGAACTGGGCTGTGCACATACATAAAATTTTTTTTTACCAATGGATTGAAGAAATTCCGCAAGATAAATTTCATTTTCATGAAGCCGGAAAATTCGGTTCGAGGACCATCCAATTTTTTTTTTTTTTTTTGTCTTTCTTTTTTTTAACCAAGTAAATAAAATGATCCTTTTTTTATTTTTATTTTTTTTTTTTTTTTTTGTTAATTTGACGAGATTTTCAACTTGAATTTTTTTTTTTTTTTTCCGATCACAGTTCACCATAATGAATCCTTGTTCTTTATTTTGTATTACCAATTCATGTTACAAAATAAATGATTGTGGCGTAGAATTCAAGGCAAATTTCACTTTAATTACTTGCCGGTTCATAAGATTTCTTTTTTATAAAAGCGAAAATTTTTTGTTGATTGAACGCGTACAAATAAAAATTACCGTCTAATATGGTATAATATAAAAGCCACTCTGCCACAAAAAATGAATTATAGATGTTTCCGCCTTTACAGATTTCTCTATCAAATGTGCTATTTTTGAATACGATTTTTTTTTTCTTTTTTTTTTTTTTTAAAAAAAAAAAAACTAGTATTTTGCTCAAAAAGTAATGAATTTAATGTAGCCATGGAAAATTAAAACGGGAATTTGTGTGTACACAAAAAAAAAAAAATATATAAATATAAAATTTTGATTCAACTTTAATCTTTTCCTAAAAATGTCCGAAAAACAAGAAGGCAATAAATCATTTACAAAAGATGATAAACACGATCCTCCCGAAAGGGATTTTCCAAAATATACCCCAACGATGATGACATACCCACCACGTACCCAACTATTTCCTGATAACGAAAGGAGAAGAGTTTTAATTTCTTCCTCATCATCATCACAACCTTATTACAGGAAACAAATGTACCTACCATCATCTTATGTCAAAATAGATATTGAGAATGAGAAGATTCCTATGGTGGATATTGATGATTATGAAAAGGATCTTGGTGATGATAAAATCAGGAAATTCGGACCTTTGATAATGTGGAATATCAATGCATTGTGTAATTTTATTATGTTACTCGGGTGCGGTATTTTATTATATTTTTATTATAAGGTGAGTTTGCGCTTTAATAATGATTGATGCATGGATCATTTTCCGCTTGATTAATTTTTGTGTACGCTGACTTCATATTTCAGAGTTCAGTGCAAAGTGGTTATGTGATATTGGCAAAGGCTTACATAATAGTGTTTTTTGTAATAGAAATGATCGTTCGTATAATAAACCTATTACAAATGAAATATTATGATCTATATTTCGTATTTTGTAACGGTCTAGGAATCCTGTGCTGTAAGTGTGTCTCTTTGAGTTGTATAAATTTACGAGTTGAACCGCGCTAACCACTCTTTTGTTTTACAGTTAAGAAGGAGTCTTATTTGGCATTTAGCACGGAATGGATCGAAGTATCACAAATAATTAAATTGGCAGATACGGCGGACAATACATGTTTCATTATTCCATCATTATTCTTACTTCACTTAATAACGTATTACATGATATCCAGAGACGATCCTACGGATACGACAAGTGTCGCGGTTGATAATTATTGTAAAAACATGGAAATATTTTTATCTTTCCCCGCGATCATCTTGGTCATAACAAGAATTTGGTTTGTAATTAAAACCATAGATTATGCGAGAAAAGTTGACGAAGATGATGATGATGATAACGATGATGATTTTTGTTGCTGTTGCGAGAGTAAACGGGGTAATAGCAATTGTGGTTGCAATTGTGATTGCAATGGTTGTTGCTATTACTTTGATTCTTATACTTTTGGATATTGGGGAGATTGCTGTAATCATTTTTGCGGAAGTTTGGGAGATTTCTGTAATAATTTGTGTGAATTTTGGGGAGATTGTTGTAATGTTATGTGCGAATGTTTGGGAAATTGCTGTTATTATTTGTGTGAATGCTTGGGAGGGGATTGTTGTTGTGGTGATTGTGGTGATTGTGGTGGTGAGTGATATTTAGGAGCTTGTTACGTTCATAAATTTTTTGTTGCGACAATTAGTACATTATATATATAATAAACAATTTTTTATTTTATTTTAATCATACATAAAATTAATCCCATTTCAGATTGTTGATGATACTTGACAAATAAAAAAAAAAAAAAAGATCATTTATAATGATGAATGCAGCAAATTAAATATTTACGGTTTTTTTTATATCATTCTTTAAGAGGCTTGGATTATAATCATCCGCAAAAAGTCTTTTAATATGTTGCCAAGTCATTTAAAACAACAAAAGCAGAGGGGGAAAATTAAAGTTCTTTTAAATGTATTTTGATCATATGAAAAGGTCAACCTAGGTAAGTGATGTGATTCAATCACAGGTTTCTAATCCTGACTGGATAATATAAAAACGTGTGCCAAGTTTTAAATATTACATAATAAATCATCAGGTAGAAAATAAATAAATGAAAAAAAAAGTGTTTTATTTTACCTGTTACAAGAGAGGAAGCAACAAACATTCAAACAACCAGCAATACAATAATTAAAACAATCTCTAATATTACTATTTCTTAAACTACAATCGCATACATTAGAACAACAACCTCCACATAAATTTGGTTCAACAAATCCAGCTGAATTTTCATGATTGAATTCTCTTGTATTATTCGTAGATTGATTATCTTGTTCCATATTTATTGAAACTGTGCCATCTTGCTGTGGTTGTTGCTGTGGTTGTTGTGGCTGTTGAGGAGTTGTGTAAGTTGACGGCGACACATCATTATTAGTGCTGGAAATGACGTGAGATTTGATATGTTTTCTGTTCTTGCAAGTCAGATTTTGAACTAATCATAATAACGAATAATTAAATTAATTGAAATTATCTTTAAATGCTTTTTGTAGTTGTTTTAGTAGTAGAGTAGTAGTAGTATGACACCTTTCTTACCAGTAAAGATTCTAAAGGCTAAAGAAAATATTATTAAACAGGTAGCAAGATATTTCATAGGGGTAATGAATTTATCTTCCAATTCGAATGGATCCTAAATACAAAAAAAAATTATATTTAGACTTTAAAAAGAAACCATGCAGTAAAAAAAAGGGTTTTTGAACTTACCAAATGATAGAATGAACCTAATAAAATACCAGATATAACTAAATATCTCGATATGCTGTTAATTTTACCAGATGAATAAACATTCCACTTCAGAACGGAATTGTAAGTAAATTCTTCGTGATGTCTCTTTGGTTCAGAAATTGTCATTGATAAAGGTTCGTAGCTGTAATGGCTCATGCAAAGATCATGATTATCTGGTGTTGACAAAGGTAGCGAATAGGTCGTCGAGGAAGAAGGTAAAGGTAACGAGGTTATCGATGAATTCGCAGATGATGATGTTGAAGAAAAGGATGCTAATGATTCCTCATACAAATGGAATTTTTTTGAATCATCAATAGAATAATAATCTTTATCTTTTGTCGATAAAGTAAAAGAAGAGTGATTGATGAATGAATTTGTTATATTTAAATCATCATCTTTATCATAAATTTTCGTTGTTGACGATAAATAATTTGAATAAGAATTTATTGACAATAAACTGTTTATGGGATAATCTTTCATTGTTGTTTAATTTAATTTTGAGGAAAGAATGCCAATAAAAAATATATATATATATTTGAATTTATTCCAAATGAGCTAACGAAAAAAAGAAAAAAAAAAAAAAACGCCCAAATCTAAATGGGAATTTCATTTTCCTAATAAATAATGCATATGCTACAACTTTTGATAATTTAAAAGTATGATATTTAAAATGTAAATTTTTTTATTTTATTTGGTGTTTTTGTAATTCGAATTTGCTAAAATCTTAAACATTCATAAATCTTAAAATTTTATACCAAAATTCGGATTATTTGTAATCTTTATTACATTAGCCCAAAAGTAAATGATTTGTTCTAACTTAAAAAACCCCTCCCCCGTTGTTACTAAAATTCGTGTGACATTCGTTAATGTAACGAACGTATTTTGGCCTAAAAATCATACATAAGCACTGGTCATGTGACATAAACTTATGAACCTCGTTTCTTACAAGTAATCTGGACATGGTGTTCATACACCCTGTGTTCAAATAGAAATTCATCTATTGACACCTACTGCATTTATGAAGTCAAATCTAATATAAAGAGTTTTGATTGTTACGAATTTTATTTAATATTTTTTTTTTTTTAATGATAAATATAGATGTTTGATTTCTTGTTCTGAGCATAATACTTTTTTTGTTGTAGTTTTTCATTAAGGAATCATATATACAACATTTGCCATGTTGCTGATAAGTTAATAACTCTCTCCTTTATAAAGAGATATTATTAACCAAGAGGTTCCGGTTTGTTTGGTGTTAGCGAATGGTTGAATGGTTCGAATAGGAAACCTTTTAATAATACCTAATTCGTCTTTCATAACCCTTAACACCTATGTCGTCTTTCATAACACCATGTTGTCTTTCATAACACCAATTTCGCCTTTTAATAAGCCCACTTCGCATAAGGACTACTACATCACCTAATTTATATATTTAAATTTTGATTAAGATGTTTAGTAATTTTTGCACTTTTTGGGGTATAGCTTGCTATCAATAAAATAATAACCGTGTTTATAATATACATTTTTGAATTTAGACTCTTGATTAGGTGGCTTGTTACGACGAAATAAAGCAAATGATATAGAAAATTTCACATTTTTTTTTAAATACGTATTCCTAACATTGTAAAAGGTTTATAAAGTAATTATATTATGATTTATTTAATTAAAATATTATATTAAAATTATTAGTAATTAATTATCAAGTAGTTTTTTAAAAGTAATTAATCACTGATGAAATATTAGTAATCCTTTAAAACAAATGATTTAATTCATTATCAAATAACAAAATAACTAACAATCAAACTGATTGCAACGCCAATTAATTGACCATCTAGAACATTACCCATAGAGGAATTATCATCATCATCATCATCATTATCAGTAGTAGCTGGTTTATCAACAACAACTATAGTAGTTTGTCTACTTGAAGGAACCGCACTGTCTATAGTATTGCTCGTAATTAATGGAGTGGGTACTACTATAGACGTTGCATTGACCACGGGAGTGGGGGTTGGTGTGATTAGCGACGTGATGTTGATTGAGGTAAAGGATGGTATCGGCGGAGTCGGCGGAGTCGGAATCGGAATCGGAATAGGTGAAATCGGTGCGCTTGAAGACGCAATTATTGGACCAAACAAATCTCTTCTTAAATTCCGTAATTCAAAAGGCGTCGCACTTCTTATGATTGTAATTATCATATAAAGTAGAATCAAATATATCCGTGAAGTCTTGTGTAAAAGCATCTTCGTTTGATAGAAATTTTTTTTTTAAAACAAAAAAGGTATTAACAATTTCCACGATAAATAAAGTTTTTTCACGGTAGAATGTATTCTATTTATTTTATTTTTAAAAAGAAATCCAAAAAAGGAGAATTTCTTTTTTTTCTGTAAATCTTGTAAGAATAACGTAAATAAATATATATATATATATATATATATATTTGACGCTTAATATAACTTTTTTTTTAATTTTTTTCATTTCTTTCTCCAATCCTTTTCAAAAGTTATTTCTAAATATATTCGATTCAATATTTTAAAATGTTTATTAATACACGTGAAATTCATCTTTGATATTCACTTCAAAATCAAGCCACATGATTATATGCGCCACAAATTTTATATATAATCAACAATTTTCTTTTTATTATTTTGGGGAGAGTTTCATAATGATTTTCCTTACTACATTTACCTGTCTTTTTGAATTTAAATGCTATAACTTTTTATTCTTTTACATTCTAATCCTAATCAAAAATTTAGAAATCTCATTTTAATAATATTACTGAAGAGAAATCTCTATATTAAATAAGAATAATTATCAACAATTACTAATTTAAAATTACAATATTATACAATCTAACCATAAAAATGTAATGCTTTTACAGCGATTTCACCCTATAATGTAAATAATATGTTAAATAATATGATCTTTCCTGCAATTTGAATAACGATATAAACAATACTTACAATAGCAACGAAGACTGCGACAACGATCAACCAGATAATAATCCACGTAATTCTTGTCATATTTGAGTTGCCAATATCCTCACGCAACATATCTAATAAATCACTAATGACACTACATCGTTCATTTAAAAGGTCCACGCGTTGAGGTATTTCGAGATAAGCTAGTTTTTTTTAAAAAAAAAATTGCAAGCATTATTAAATATTTAACAGAAACCAAATTTTCAATTAAAAAAAAAAAAAAATAAATAAATAATAATAATAAATACATCTAATAGCATTATATAGTGGTTGTAAGGATGGTTCTGACCAAAAAATTTCCGGTGTATCTATTTATTTTATTTTTTTTATTTTATATTTTTTTTGGTTAATAAGCTTTAATACGTATGTCATTTAACGCATTTGAACATGGGGTGAATAAGATTACCTAATACATTGGATACTAGATTTACATTCATTCGCAGCTTGAACATCTCTCCACTCAACTTTGTAACCTGAATTCGATCTCTAATTATCAAAGGAAGAACCATTTCAAGTTTCTTCATTAACAATGCTCTTAAAACTAGTTAATTAATATTCGAGACTTACAAATTTAATCTTCCGGTTTGTGCCAACATCTTTGGTATATGCCTTGTCCTCTCGATCGTATTCTCCATTTGCCATTCATATAATGTCAGCTTGGTACTTTGACTTATTGCATGGCTAATCGTTAATTTGATCATATGATTATCAGTCTTTAGCGTTATCATATCGTTAAAAATCCTAGGCTGTCTATTGGATTCAACATCATACTGAAAATGAAATGTTTCGACTTCAATGTCGTCCTTTTTTGTAGGACGAGCTGAAATCCTAAATTCATCAATATCTTGGAGTAACAAATGTTCTTGTTCTTCTGTGAAGTTCCAAATCACTACAACTCCATAATTAAAGTAGAAGACTTCACCTAGATTAGTTTGAGGTGCTGCTGGCTTTATTGTAGATGAGCCCGCTTCTCCATCCTCATCAACTGAAAAATAATGGGATATATCATTGATATTTTCATAATTCTCAATCTGCCTATCCATAAACGTGTATCCATTCGGAGACTTTATAGCAGTTGATGCGATTTTACTATGTCTTCCAGATACTAAAGGAAAATGATACGGTGCATATAAACATTCATCATATAACCTATATTAAATAAATTCACCATCATCAGATGTGTGAGATTGAATAAAATCAAAAGATATTTATTATACATTATAAAAAATACTTTGGATTAACATTATGTCTTCTTTTAAGGAATTCTATTAATAGTCCAAGATAAAAGCCTTCTGCAGTGCAATATGCTGTTACTCTTTAGAAAAAAAAAAAATAAAATAAAATAATAATAATAACATTCATGGATCAAATATTCCTAGAACAAAATAAAGTTCAATTAAAAAATAGACAACGATAGGATATACGTGAATTACTTTACTACCTAGGATAATGTTTATTGTCCCTAACTTCCTTTGACATTCTTTCAGCGTCTGTACCATCCCATGCTGCTGGAACAGGAATCATTGGAGTTACCGGTGTCTCGGCATCATCAGAAGTTTCGTCAATCACGAGAGCTGGTTTAACATCTCCTTCAGGTAGTAAAACTAATTTCTGCGATGTTTTTGTCGTTCGCAAAGGTGCCGTAGGTTTCGTACGATTACCGGAACTTGACGATTGAGCTGGAACTGCTGGAATTAATAAAGGATATGGTGGTTTTTTTGTTCTTGGTTGTGACGAACTAGTGGAATCTATCGTTTCTGGCTGAACTTTGACTTGAAGAGCCGAATCTCCCTTGGAGGGATTACTCTGAGTGAGTTCAAATGATGTTCCAGAGTGAAAGTCGGACATTGTTGGTTTCCCCCTACTATAAAATGACAGCTACACTTTATAAATGATAATCAAGAATGATATCATTGGATACAGAAAATCAGATTACGCTGTCGATCTTTACTGTAATGTTTGGCAATCAGCCAGCCAGATGATTAAATAATCTATTAAATATCTCAAATATTTACTTTTACAACTTTATTTTCTAATAATGTCTACTATTCGGCAAGAACTGGTACAGTCAGCTGTTAACTTTCTTAAGGATCCACAAGTTAAGAATTCTCCGTTACAAAAGCGGGTAGCTTTTTTAGAATCTAAAGGATTATCTTCGGAGGAGATTGAGGAAGCATTAAAAAAAGTAAAAGATGTATCTCCGAACGTTGCACCGCAAATACCACCCACACCGCCCTCTCAAGGTTCTGGGCAAGTTATGATAACGCAACCACCTCCAGTTCCGAGAATGGATTGGCGAGATTTCTTTATCGCTGCAGTTTTTGTTGGAGGCATTGGATATGCAATAGTGGCAGTCACAAAGGTTACTCTTAATATATATATATTTTTTATTCATTCAAGGAATTAATTAATCATCTCACAGCTCATTGACTAATTAATTCTTCATTATATAGAAGTATATATTGCCATTACTAAAAACACCTACAGCGAAAGAACTTGAGATGGATAAACAAGCACTTAGTGATCAATTCAATGCTGCTTCTGAGACACTTAATGATGTGAAGTCAGATACACAAGTTGTCAAAAAAACTATTGAAGAACAAGTATATAAAGTAAAAGAATCCTTAGAGACTCTAGACAAAATGATGAGTGATATTAAACAACAAGAAGCAAAACGAGATTCAGATTTAAAAATTTTAAAGGAAGATATGGATGCTATTCGAGACTTGATAACAAAGGTGCCATATATTATGAAATTGATTTAAATTATTGGTAAAATATGTTCCGTTAATAAATCATTTGTTATTATCGATTAGCTTCTTGAAAAGACCAAGGATTCGCAAAACCAATCACTTTCAGAAGTACAACAAGAACTTAAATCGTTAAAATCTCTTCTCCTCAATCGACGATCTAATTCAACAACAGGATCACCTATAGCCGAAGCATTATCCTCATCATCTTCAACAACAGCGCCCATTATGAATTCGACGACAATACCTGCAATTCCATCAGTTTCGTCTCCTTTTCCTGGAGTGTCACCAAGTCGACCGTCAATTCCGTCCTGGCAAATGGGTATGAACAACGCTTCCACCGCAATTAAGATTCCAGTAGAACAAAATAATTCTACCTCAAGTGAACAAAATGGAACCAGTGCCGTCACAAGCAACGGCGCTGAGAACAATAATTTAACATTAGTAAATTAGAAGTGTATATTGTATGTGAGATTTTTTTGTTTATAAAAAAAAAAAAAAAAAAAAAAAAAAATTAAAAAAATGACACATATATATACATGATATGTAGTATAGCAAGGACCGCAAAAAAAAAGGGGTTGTCAACTTTTTTTTCTCATTGAATGAATATGTGTTGTATCAAGGAATGATAATAGATAAATTTTTATTTTTGATACTTTTAATACATTATTATTATTACCATTATTATGATTTTATATTTATATTATTGTTGTTTTTTTTTATTGCGAAGTTGAGATAATTATTCTTAAATATATCCTTCTTGAAAATTATTTAGGCGACCTATTTAGGTATTTTGTTGTAAAGGCTCTTGCTGTACCGCCAGATGATGATGATATTGAGTGAGGATGCTGAATTGGTCAATTAATAATCGATCCAAACAAAAGGAAGTGCAACCAATTAGAATGGATAAAAAGTGAATAAAGGGATGCCGTATTTAGAAACTTTATATCCAAAGATACAAACCCATCGAAAAGAGATCAATTACCTTAAATGAATTAAATTCGAAAGACATCAAATAAGCTCGACCCTTAATTTATTAAACTCACGTGTATAATTATTTATTGTAAAATGATTGGAGGGCATTTTTTAGATTTTTTAGATATCAAAGGACATTTGGAATGGAACTATATAATTCATATGATCGGCATGTGATTTTCCAGGATTTTCAAATTTTTTTTTTTTATTTCATCATAGGGTAATTTTGGTGGGGGGCGGGAACATATATGGGCTGGGCAATTAATACAAATGATATGCTCTAGAGAGCAAGCCTTATCTAGTTATATCAATGTTTAGTTTCTTCTAGGTAAAAGACCTAATTCTTAATAATAAAGGTATTTACCCATTACTAAAAAGTAACAAAATCGTGTGCCATTCAAAGTGATCCGACTTAATTGAATTACAAAGCCGGAACAAAGTTCATATAAAGAAATTCTAAAAAAAAAACACGGTCATTTATTTATATTTATTATTCATAAAGAAAAAAATATATCACAAAACTTTAATTTATCTAAAGAATTGTCTCACTTGTAATTCAAACACTCGTTTCACAGCAAAGTACTAATTACAGCAGGTATATCAGAATACTTTGCGCTTTATAGATTCAAGTAAGTACGTACTTATGCAAAACTTTTCGCACGTTGCTTTCACTTCACGGATTTAATGATCCAAGTATTTTGAAATATGATGATCAAAGTCCACTTTTTATAAACGGCAAAAACAAAATGATGTACTGGCTTGACGCTTTTTGATAAAGGAGTCCAGGGTAATCCCCAAGCCTTGATCTAAAACAACGAACCGCAAAACTCAAGAGCTTTGCCAGGTCATTACGGACGACGAATCATCAGTACCGAATGTTATATTCTCCTTACCTTCGAGAAAAAATCTTGAGAATTAATAGAAAAAATTATTTTATTGATATTAATTTAAAAAATCCATTTTTTTTTAGTTCTGTTTTTAAGAAACAAAATTTTATTATGCATTATTTAATAAATAATTAAATATATATATACATGATATATATATTTTTTATTAATTCTTATAAAATATTCTTCATTTAATAAATTCTTACTCGTCTTGTTCCATCTTAATCATTTCACGGGTGATTAATTTCGCTGACGGGAAAATAAATGAAAATTTACCTAGAAAAATTCCCGAACAAAAAATAGAGGCAAAACTTTTATTAATTTCACAAATTTTAGATGCATGATCTCTTTGCAACTGAATCTACAAAAAGGTTATCTCGAACTCTGGAAGTTTTTGTCTTTATATTCTAAAATCTGATTCCACATTAATATACCCATTAGTTTCTCAACATTTCGTATGTAAACTTATCACCATTCGCGCTCTTCATTTTCTTACTACGAGCATTTGCAAAGTGTAATTAACTCCAAATGGGCATAAAATATTTAGTGAACCTCTTAATTTGAATATTGCGTGATATTGATTTTTTTTGGAGACGGCAACATATTGCATATCCATCTTGCGTCTAAAATGTAGTAGTTATTTTCATATTTTAAACGTTTTTACGATTTCATTGTCTAACGATGTTAAAAACGAAGCGTTTCACTAAATTTTATAGCATAGATACGATTACAGAAGTGCACATGGATTGAAACAGAAGTCCTGAAAAGTGACTAATAATGATTATTCTCGGTTAGTTATGATAATTGATATTGCTATTAATTATTAATATTATGTTTATCTAGGAGGGTTTCTTCCTATTTACCAAACACAAGAATATATCAACTTGGAAATCATTATATTCATTGGCAAGAATAGAGAAATCCTGATAGTATGCCTTCAATAGATTCTGAATGAATTTGTTCTAGAATTCTTTAAAGGTAAGTATTAATGTATCATTGATTAAAAGGATATCATTTAAATTCATTCATTAGCTCAGAGAATTTTTCATGAAAATACACGTATAAAAAATGAAATATACTGTATAATAAAACTATTTTTAAATTGTCCGTCAAGCTTTTAGTAAAAGCTCCAATTGCAATTTTTTTTTTCACTTCATTTGATTGGGACTCCGCTTAAATCGAAGGAAGAATTTACTTTTTGCATCTATCATCAACCTCTTCAATCGAACGATCGATTATTTCCTACGGATAAAGCAAGTCTTTAATTAAAAAAAAAATTGTTATATTTAAAAAATTTTGTTATAAAAAAATCTGTTATAAAAGATTATGCAGGTTCATTCACTTTATTTCATTAAACGTAATATATAGCATTTAGTTTAATAAATTCAGTATAGTGAGTTTTATTCCATATATTAAAATCTAAAGGTCGCTTTATTATATTATTCGTTATATTAAATTTACTACAAGGTAAGTTGACTGTATAATTATAATAGTAATTAAGTAAATAATATATTATATAATAATACTAATTTAAAAATTTGTTTTATGATTAATAATTTTAGTTTATATTTAGATATCTTGGTTAAAGTGAATTATTTTAGTAGTTTAAGTAAGATTGTCAATAAATTTAAAAATTAATTACTTTTTAAATTTTTATTAATATTAATTTAATTTTCAAAATCAAAGTATTTTTGTAACAAATTAATTGTTTTATATTTTTATAAATAAATTTTAATAAATAAATATTTTAATTTTTTAATATAATTTTACAATTAGTTACTATAAAATTTTTTTTGAAAATATAAATTATTAAAAATATTATTTATATAAGATTTATTTTAAAATTTTTCTACAGTTGTATCTTCTTATAATTACACAGTTAAATGCATATAAAATACATACTAATATAGAGGTGTGATTATATATTAGATTCCTTTATATAATCACACACTTAAGTAATTTTATAATATTATAATTAAATAGAATTATATTATAAAATCATTTTAATAATGATAGTATTATCAATATGTTTATTATAATATAAAATTATACATAATCAACTAAAAAAAAATTAGTAATATTTTTTTGTATTTTACTTTTAAAAACTATACGTTATATAATTCTCATATATTTTTCAAATCAGCATATCTTTTATATCAACTTCTTCACTTTCCTATTCTTTTAAATATTATAACCATATTTTAAAACTATTAAAAGCTTTATTTGTTGATACTAC